AGAGGGGCAACGAGAATGTGAGTGGCTGAAGGGTTAAGAAACTACCACCGCTTTCTACTCAGATCATCTGCTCCAGCCGAAGCCTCCTGCATCCCTGGCCCACTCGCGAATTACGAATAGTTTCTTACCCTCCGAGCAGGATCATTACTCTCGCGACTCCACTCTGGACGGCCAATGAAGGCAAGCCAGAGGTGGGAGACCTGTTCCTTGTCATCGTTCACTCCAGCCAGCCAATTAAGGCAAGCCGGAGAAGAAGGAACGGTGACTTCTCCCTGGAGCACTCGGGATGATGGTAGCCCGCGGGATCGCTAATGCCCGTCACCTCGCCTCAAGGTGCCCTGCGGGCATAGTATAATTATTATTAGAATTATAAAGGGAGGGCGCGGGGTTATTTAAGATTTCCTTGTTGGTGAAGTGGTCACAAGCGCAACTGTGTGGTTAATAACACCGATTGATGACTTTTGACCTACAACCCTATTATTTTAGCCAGAGCTGAGAGCCGTATTATCCCTAAGGTAAACTAGGCAAGGGCCTTTAAGTTTATAGAGGGGCGCCACGAGATGCGCTTGCCTATTTCCCAATATAGGGGCGGTGGTTACGTTGGCCGGAGATCGTCCCGCGATCCCCGACGCCCGGTGTGTCCTTCGCATGGCTGGGTTGCGAGGAAGCAGCGCTTCGCTGCCTCACGCTTCCCGCCTCCTCCTTAGCTAGCATAAATGCTTCGCAAAAGGAGGAGACGGCATCCCAGTCCCCCTTGCTCCGTATCATGACCCTGAGCTCACGCAGGGCATTCCGCTACAGTGTGTTCCACCGTATCGTTAGGGCGGTCCTCGCAGTGATGACACGCGGACGTTTCCTCCCGGCCCATCAGACACAGGTACCTCCCGAAACTTCCATGTCCGGTGAGGACCTGCGTCAGGCGGTGAGGACGCCGTAGCGTCTCTCAAGCCACTCCTCAAAAAGGGGACCCTCGGTTGCGAGTCGTTGCTGTCATTCCGCCATGAGATCGCGCCGGAGCTCATCCCGCCACGCACTTATCTGGCGCGGCAGCGGAGTTTCGCCCCGGCGACGTGCCTCTGCGCGCATGCTATACACGTGCGCGAGCACCTTCGCCTCCAGATCTCACGGCGGTAATCCGGCAAGGAGGTTCGCCGACTCCCCGGACATCGTGCGGTATCCGCGGATCATTCGGATCGCCATGACCTTCTGTGACATGAGCAACGCCCGAGCGGGCCGCCGCATCAGGTTCGGCGCCCACACAGGGGCGCCGTAGAGACTAGAGAGCCATGGACCGCACGACCCTGGCGTATAACCTCCGGCAAGAGGCGTTTGGCCCCCCGAGGTTGGGGAGGATGCGCTTAAACACAGCCCCCGCCCTCTCCAAATTTGGAGCCAAACGTCGGAAGTGCTCCACGAAGTTCCACCGACTGTCGAGGACGAGTCGCAGGTACTTCATCGTCGTCTCAACGCCGATGGTAACCCCTCCCGCCGTTATTTGAGACTCACCCGGAGGTGGCGCGTTCCCGCGGCCATGAAAGCACATGGCCTCGGACTTGTGGAGCGCTACCTCGAGTCAATTACAACCGATCCCTGTGGAACACCGCGTGACATCTCTCACCGGTTCCACTCGCCCCGGTGACCGGGGTAACTGACGGATCTGTCCGTCGGGTAAGCCTCGATTACTCGACGGAGATAGGTGCCTGCCTACCGATGATATCGGAGTGCACGTCACTGGCAGCAACTTTTTTTTTTATGGAATAGGAGGCAAACGAGCAGACGGATCACCTGATGGTAAGCGATCAGCGCCGCCCATGGACACCCGCAACACCAGAAGAGTGACAGGTGCGTTGCCGGCCTTTTAAAAAGGAGTACGCTCTTTTCTTGAAGGTTTGAAGGTCGTATCGGTTCGGAAATACCGCCGACGACAGATCATTCCACAGTTTTGCTGTGCGAGGCAGGAAGCTACGTGAGAACCGCACAGTTGTGTGTCCGACCGCAAAACTGGACGCCGCTCGAAATGTTGACACCAAGTATTCCAATACCGGCTGAGGCAGTTAGGGGGGTGCTTTGAAACTGGTAAACACGCAGACTTGTGTCTTAGTGGGGTTAAACTGGACCAAATTAAGTCCACCCCAATCAGAGATTCTCCCTAAAGAGGTCTCGATTTCAGACACGAGTCTGTTTCGGCTCTCTATGACGTTTTCCCGAGAAATGTTAGCGCGGCCGGTGTAGTAGGCATCGCCTGTGCTGTCATCCGCATAACAATGAATGCCGCTGATTTGCAGCATGTCATTGACATGGAGGATGTCAATGACAATGTAGGCGATAGCACGCAGCCTTGAGGGACACCTGCGTTTACAGACATCAAGTCAGAGCATTCACCGTCGACGACGACTTTAATGCTTCTGTCTGCAAGGAAGCAGGAGACCCATTTGCATAATTTCTCGGGAAGTCCGTAGGAAGGAAGCTTCGAAAGAAGCGCTCTATGCCAAACCCGATCGAAGGCCTTCGCCACGTCTAAACTTAATGCCAACGCTTCCCCCTTAGACTCGATCGCCTGTGCCCACCGATGCGTTAGGTAAACAAGGAGATCACCAGCAGACCGACCTTTACGAAAACCGTATTGCTGGTCACTGAGCAGCTGATGATCCTCTTAGTAACGCAGGATTTGGCAGTTAATAATTGACTCCATTATTTTCGAGAAGAGGGAAGTTATGGCTATCGGTCTGTAGTTAGACGGGTTTGATCGATCACCTTTTTTAGGGATTGTGTGGACTAAAGCTGTCTTCCAGGACGTCGGAACTACGCCTGAGGAGTAAGAGTGCCGAAAAAGACGTGTTAGAACTGGGGCCAACTCGGGGGCGCACATCTTCAAAACAATGGGTGGGATCCCATCAGGCCCGCTCGACTTATGGACGTCAAGGGATAAAAGCGCCAAACGTACCGTGCTCTGATGGAACCGCACATTCGGCATATACCTTCCGCACCAAGGCACAACAGGAGGCTCGCGCCCACCGTCATCCAGTGTCGAGTTGGACGCAAAGATTTTCGCCAAAAGTTGAGCCTTATCCCTTATGAGCCAACGAATCCTCACCCATGGGGGGGTGTGGAAATGACGGCCTGCAGAAATTGCCCTCGATAGCTTGATAGCTAACTCCGGGGGGGAAGGCGTTAGCGATATCCAAAGACACCGCCACAACGACCTTACTCCTGGACACGGGGGGGCCCGTCGTCCAGTCTCTAACGCGCTTGATGACGTCCACCGTGGAGCGGTCTCTGGGGGGGCCGAACTGGCCGTCCGACAAGTTCGGCCCAACATCCGACAGGTGCGCGACGGGGCGGTTCGAAATGATTGGGATGGGATAGATGGGATATTTTTGGTTTAGCTCAAAAAATTAGTAACTGATTGAAAATAGACGTTGTATTGTACCTATAACGAATAACGTGCTGTACTCAAGCATTAACCCTATATTTATTATCTTCTGCCTTAACATTTAGAGAAATAACCACGTGACTTTAGGTTACTCTTTTAGTTGATTTTGTATAGTAATCATAAGTTGACTACATTGAGTTGTGAAGAGACATTCAGATTCAGATTATAAATAAATAAATATAGCTACAGACGTACCGACGAAGCTTTGGGGATTCAGATACCATGCAGTCCCAGCTTTTAAGTACATGCTTGCGTATAAGGTCTAAAGCAATGAGTTTAAAGTAAAAAGTCAAATTTAATAATGAATTGAATAAAGCGTGAGGTAGAAATCGCTTCATTCATTTAAATGTGTAACCATTTCTAAACGCACTTTTTTCTTAAGTTGGCAGCATTGATTGTAGGTTAACCGTCGCGTATCTTTGAATGATTCTTTTATTTGTTATTGTTAATATTTGTATTCTTTATCGCACAGTGATATGTATAATAGACTTTTTAAAATAAATACCTAAATTATAGTATATGTTAAAATAAATATTTTTGGGAATTTCTGTAAATAATTTAAAAGGTAGTATAGTGTCACTTTTGACAGATAATCTAACCTAAAACAGTGATATGAAAATCGTACATAGCTAAACTTAAGTTTTTCAAACTGTGAATTGTTTTATAATGCTGTTTTTAGATGCCAACAATAATCAACAATAGTATTGACACAACGCGCCAGGCCGACGGCACCAAAATGCAACTAGAATCATTGGAATTAGCTGGTTGCACACTAGACCGGTATATAAGTGCGGATAATTCGCGCCCTTCTTTTTTAGAGGTTTGTTGAATCATTCTGATGTTTTATTTACTTTCCTATAGTGTTATAAAATAACTATGAATCAGCACATGCTTCTGAAATATTACCCTGAAGTAATAAACATTGTTTCCTTGTAGATAACTGGGATAGCCTCTCACAGAAGTCCAACATGCAGTGGTCTGAATGCAGGAGACTACAGGAACCTCGCCGCCTTAGTGAATCACCCCAGCTTGTCGCAATTGAAGATATTAAATAAAGTTCCACTGCCACCTGAAATTATGGAACATTTTGCCCGTATCCTTTTTACAGAATGCTATATTATATTTTTATTTTCAAAATGTTCATTATGATCAATTTATCTTACTACACATGTAGATGAACAATTTATTTATTATAAGAATCCGATAAAACAAGCACTATAAATTAAAACGAGTAAATAGTGTAAAACCTAAATAAAATTCTAAGCATTTTTTCTTATTTGAATTACATAATAACTTCCTTAGTATAATAACAGATATGCAGTGTCACTGTCTAATGGGAGTGTTTCCTGAAATCAGCAGAGTCTGGTTGGCCATAGATAGCAATATTTATGTTTGGGCCTTCGAACATGGCAGTGATGTGGCTTATTTTGATGGACTAGGGGAGACTATAGTTAGTGTGGGCTTAGTAAAACCTAAGGCCGGAGTGTTCCAAAGCTTCGTCAAATATTTATTAGTACTCACAACCACAGTTGAAATAGTAGTTTTAGGTAAGTTTTATTCATATGAAATGTTGTAAGCTTGATTTTAAAATAGAAATCTGGATAGAATTCAAATGATCCTTGTCTTACTTATACAAATGATTGTTTCAGGAGTAACATTTTCATCCAGTAAAAATGATGGTTCTGGAGAGTTCCAAGAAATACATTTAGTTCCAGAGCCTGTGTTTGTCCTGCCAACAGATGGTATCTCTATGATGTGTGTTAAATCCACGGATAAAGGCCGGATCTTTATGGGTGGTAAAGATGGATGCCTCTATGAAATCACATATCAGGTAAATTATTTATTGAAATATGTAATAAAATATCTGTTCTTTTAAAGTCATCAGCTTATTAGTGTATCATTGAATATCAACAATTAGATGACTAATTAAGTATTGCTCTTCCAGGCTCAATTAGGTTGGTTTGGCAAGCACTGCAAGAAAGTTAATCACTCGACTAGTACTCTATCATTCCTAGTGCCTACATTCCTCAGTGCAGCCCTGTATGATGAGGATCCTATAGTTAAGATTGAAGTAGACAATTCAAGACATATTCTTTACACATTAAGTGAAAAGGGATGCATAGAAGTATTTGATTTAGGTCCTGATGGAGAAGGACTCAGCAGAGTTGTAAGACTCACTCAGGGAAAAATTGTTTCATCAGCTTTTGACATTGTCAAGTGAGTTATGATGATCTGTTTAGTACTTACATTGTTATTATTAAGAAGTTCTTCATGATTGAGTGTTTAATTTTATTTTAGGACATTAGAACCCAACAACTTCAAACCTGTAGTAGCCATATCGGCAGTAGAGGAATCAGAGTCAGATCATCTTAATTTAGTAGCTGTTACACAGACAGGTGCTCGCTTGTACTTCAGTACTGGAAGTTCAGAGTAAGTTGTAGTATCAGATACACATATTTTATGTTTGGTGTGTACATATAATAATTATTTGTATATTAACATAATTTTTGTGATTTTCAGTGCGACTCCTGGCGGGTCTCAAAGACCACAATATCTGACATTGCTACATGTGCGACTGCCGCCTGGATTCACACCTAACTCTTCAGTTTTGAAGCCGAAACAAGTCCATAGTGCTGTTTATGAAAATGGTGAGAAGTAAATCCAATCTACAAGTTTTAGTAAACACAAAATGTTCAGTGTTTACAGATTGTTCACTTTGAAAATACTAATATTTTTCAGGTTCTCTGGTAATGGTCTGTTCTGCGGGTGGTGGTGGGGAGGCAGAGACATTGTGGTGCCTGTCCCGCGTCCTAGCTTCTACTGCCACCTTCAGTGAGTCACATACATTGCTGGCTCTGGACGGACCTGCCTGGGCACTCACGGCGTTGCCTCACCATCATTCTAAGCATCTGTCTCAAGCTATGCTTACCAAAAAAGGTAAGACTTTTTTGTAAATGAAATTTAGTTATTTCTTTCCTGTGGAACACATGATGTAAATATATTGTTTTGGCATTTGTCAGAGGTTTGGAGCGTGTCCCGCTGGGCGGTGGTGACGGGAGCCGGGGCCTGCGTGGTGGAGGCTGGCGCTGCGCCGGATCTGCTGAGAGCACTACTGCGTGACTGCCGTGGACCTGATGCACATCCTGTCAAGGATTTCTTCCAGGTAGTTTTAACAATTTTTTTTTATTTATTATGTTGTCATTTATTTGGAAAAATTGTAATATCTAAAAATGTCTCTGCTAATTCACAGTTGTACAGCGTTGAACAAGCGTGTGCGTGTGCGTTGTACTTGGCATGTGAAGATATTACTAGTGGTGATCTCGCAATAAGTGAGTGGGCGACCCGAGCATTCTTTCTCTATGGCAGCCAGTTGGCTCCATCATCTATGTACCAACACCCTTCACAAATGCCTACCACTTTAGGTAAGTCACAATAATGAACAAATAAGATAGCAAATATTTAAATAACAAATAACAACTTGCTAATATTGGTTTTATTTTTAGGTTCGCCAAAATTCTCACCGCGCCAAATGTCTACACCTATGTCTATTAGGGGACCACAAGGCCAATTGCAGCCAGGCAAATTGAACCAATCATATCAGGGACCTATGAATCAATCATTCCCTGGATCACCAAACCAGTCTATGATGCCACAGTCACCATTCCAACAGTCCATGTTAAGCCCTGGATTCAATCAGTCATCATTTGTGGGCAACATGACCCAGCAACCAAGAGATCCCAACTTCCCAATGCCCATAGAATATAGTGCAAAGCACAATGGTCTCTACATCTATATTGGCCGGATCTTAGCTCCCATATGGGGTTTAAAATGTGTAACAATGTCACAGTCACCCGATAAAAAGGAATTCGTAAGTATTCACATTTTGTTTGTGTCTAATAAATAAAACTAAATGCATCAATTAATACAATTAATTATTATTTATACGCAGATGAGTAGCAAAGTGACTGGTGAGGATTGTGCATACATAGTTCAAAAACTACAGCGTGTGGCTGCCTTCATGCAACGAACTCTTGCCCCGCCGCATTCCGATGAGCACGCATCTCTGCAAGCCCTTAAATTATTTATTAGTGAGTATTCCACCATTTTAATAAATAGTGTTAATACTCGAATCATCTAATCCAACCAAAAATTGTTCAGAATATGCATCTTAAAACTTCCATTTTATTTACAGCAATGGCAATTGAAATGCTAAGCTTATGGAAAGTGCTCTGTGAGCATCAGTTCCACGTGATCGCCGCTAGTCTTCCGCCCGAACAACAGAATGCGTTGCAGGCCGCTAGTTATAGGTAATTAATGACTACTGTTTGTATTCTTTTATAAACTTCTTGATTTTTTAAAAATATATTTAATGAGTTGTGATCATTTTTCAGGGAATTATTAGTAGGTGGCCAGGAAGTAGCGTGCCTACTCCTCGGATCTCTAGTCGCAGGTTATTTAAGAGACAACGCGTCGGTAGATGGAATCTCTCAGAAATTGAGACAACTCTGTCCAACACTGTATAGGCAAGAAGATGCTACTTGTTCTAAGGTATGGACCTACTAACTCCTTTTCATTATTTAGTAAAAGTTAAAAATAGTAAGAATATGGTATGAATACTATCGACTTTATATTTCAGGCCAATGAATTGTTGATATTTGCGAAACAACAGAAGAATCCTGCTGAGAGAGAAGAAATGCTTCAGCATGCTCTCAAATTGTGTAAAGTAAGTTCTTTATTATAAAAAAATATATAACCTATTTGTATTGTATCGCTTCCTATGATATTGTTTAACATTACACATAGTATGTATCTTTAAAATGTCTATATTTTGTTTTAGGATGTAGCCCCAAATGTAAACCTGCCATTGGTATGCTCAAAACTGGTGTCAGCTGGTTTTTACTCTGGTGTTGTTGAGTTGTGTGTGGCCTGTGCATCTAAATTGGATCCTCAAGACAAAGCCGTGCATTACTACAAGAGTGACCAACCCTCACAAGACAGAGAAGGACACTTTATTTACTACAGAAGGTAAGGTTGTCGAATTATTATTTAATGTTTCTTTATTGTCTAATTCATTTGAAACATTCTTAATTTTATGAATGTTGTAGCCGTTTTTCTAAATACTTTTTGTTGTTTAGGATGGAGATATACCGTGAAGTGTGCTCAGCTCTAGAGCGTCTGTACGAGCGCAGTGCAGAAGCTTCAACCAGTGAACCGTCACCATTGCGATCCCAGCCTAGTAACGACAACATCCTCACTATGTCGCCTGCTGACGCTAATTACCAAGTAAATATTCGCATTTGAAATTATTTTGCACATTAGTTGTCGTAAAAGTACTTAATTTATTTTATTTTGTTTTTTCTGTACAGGGAAGAAAGTTGGTATGGGAATGTCTCTCCCGAGATGATGAACTTTTGCACGTCGCTGTTTACGAGTGGCTGGTCTCCAAACATTTAGGATCAGGTAATGTACTTCTAGTTGTTATAAGTCATAAAGTATTAACATTGAAAGCTTCTTGTTTTGTTTCCACTATGTTATTTAAAATAAGGTAACCTAAGTAATTATGTTTATTGTTATAGAACTATTATCTCTGGGCACTGCGCCGCCTGCGTCCTTGCGTACATATCTGCAGGCGGCGGCGCGGTCCGCAGCTCCAGGCGCCGCGCTGCACCTGCTCGACCTGCTGTGGAAGGTGTTGGAGAAGAGCGGAGATCATCTCGCTGCTGCTAACGTGCTGGAAGGTCTTGCTACTAGACCTGGGTGAGTACTACCAGTAAAATAGAAGCTACACAAGCTGAAAAAGAAACTTAGTTTACGCCTCTTTCATTTTTACTTTACTAGGGGATTGTTTCTTAAGATTTAAATGTTTAAACTCTTCCTTTTGCTTAATAATAGTTAGGTGATCGGAATGGAAGTGTGGAGTAATGTTGAGTGTCGCAGGTCGGGCGCGACGCTGGCGCAGCGCATGTCGTGGCTGTCGGCGGGCGTGGTGTGCGTGCGCGGCGCGGGCGCGGGCGGCGCGGGCGGCGCCGACTCAG